CGAGTTGAACGCGGGGTTAGTTCTACTGCCGCTGGTACTGCTGCTGGGACTGCTGCTGCTGGGACTGCTGCTGGTACTGCTGCTGGTACTGCTGTTGCTGGTACTTGCTGTCACTGCTGCTGGAACTGCTGCTGGTACTGCTGCTGCTGGTACTTGCTGTCACTGCTGCTGGGACTACTGCTGGTACTGCTGCTGCTGGTACTTGCTGTCACTGCTGCTGCTACTGCTGCTGGGACTGCTGCTGCTACTGCTGCTGCTACTGCTGCTGGTACTTGCTGTCACTGCTGCTGTCACTGCTGCTGTCACTGCTGCTGGTACTGCTGCTGCTGGTACTGCTGCTGGGACTGCTGCTGGCACTGCTGTTGCTGCTGCTGCTGGTGCTGCTGGTACTGCTGCTGCTGGTGCTGCTGCTGGTACTGCTGCTGGCACTGCTGCTGCTGTCACTGCTACTGCTGCTGGTACTGCTGCTGGTACTGCTGCTGCTGCTGCTGGTGCTGCTGGTACTGCTGCTGTCACTGCTGCTGGTACTGCTGCTGGTACTGCTGCTGCTGCTGGTGTTGCTGGTACTGCTGCTGCTGTCACTGCTGCTGGTACTGCTGCTGGCACTGCTGCTGCTGTCACTGCTACTGCTGCTGGTACTGCTGCTGGTACTGCTGCTGCTACTGCTGCTGCTGGTGCTGCTGGTACTGCTGCTGCTGTCACTGCTGCTGGTACTGCTGCTGGCACTGCTGCTGCTGTCACTGCTACTGCTACTGGTACTGCTGCTGGTACTGCTGCTACTGCCACTGCTGTCACTGCTGCTGGTACTGCTACTTCCACTGCTGCTGGCACTGCTGCTGGGACTGCTGCTGCTGTTGGCACTGCCGGTGCGGAGGCTGGGAGCTTTGACGCCGTGGGAGCGGTGTGGGGGGTGGGGGCCATGGAGCAGCCCACGAGCTCGTCCGCGTGTCTGCACGGCCCCAGCCGCAGCCTCTGCTGCGCCCTCATGCTCAGCGCTCGCAAGCTCGTCCTCTTCCAAGGTACGCGACGACGCCTCTAGGTCCGCTCGGCCTAAACACACAGAAAAAAAAATTGGATTTTCGCTCATCCTTGCGGTGACCCGGTCTCGGTGTGGCCGTGCAGCTGGCGAAGCAGATCACGCTCGGCTCGGGAGACGCGAGGGGTGTGTGTGTGTGGGGGGGGGGTTGTCAGGGGTGTGCTGGGTAGGATGCGAGCTCATAGATGACCCCCCCCCTCCCGGTCCACCACCATCGAGAAGACTGCTCTGGTCTTGCCAGTCGTAATAGGCGCTCGCTAACAGTGCCCGCTTCAAACTGTCTACGTATAAAGGCGAGTCCGCGCGTGGTAACGGAATCCTGTAAGATGAATGCGACGACCACGTCAACGACCGGGCGTTCAGGTAGGTCCTTGTATGTGTCAGTAGCAAACCAGTCCTGCTGTGTTAGGGGGACATTCAGGAACTAACAAAATCGGGGTTAATGTTTGTAATCCCAAAAATGTCAAATGCACCATATGCATATTTTAGTGTTAGCTACACCCACACACACACCAGTGACACGTGCTCTCGGTCTGTGCCTCGCCTGGGTATACTCAGCCTAAAATGAGCTCCCCGTTGCATCTTACTGGGTGCCGAATGCATAATCGGTGCTCGCAAACAGCGCTTGACCGCGACGGCCTGTGCATCTCTGTGTGTGCTCATTAAAATAAAAAGAGAGATTGCAGCCGATAAACAACATCAGTGCTGTGATTTAGTAGAGGAGCACACGGAGGAAGGGACCACCGGCGTGGAGATGGAGTGATGAACCTCAGATTGAGATCTATGGATGAACTGCAGCTGCACAAGTCTAACGGCGTCAGCGAAGATAAAATCCATCAGCCAGCAGTGGAAAGAGAGTGCCTGATGGTATTGATACATTGTGGGTTTGCGTCTGGATTTCATCAAAAGATCCCGACCAGGCGAGCATCTTGCAGCATAAGATCAAACAGTAACACATTATTGTGCAAATCAGGCTCGTCATACTGATTTTCATTGCCCCAATATAATGATTTGTTTATTCAAGGAAAAATAGATAAGGAGGAATCATCCTTTTGCCTGTGTATTGGCACCAGCCCAGCAGCTTTAGATGTATGCCAATTTTATTGTTTTATTATTCAGTCCCAGGTCGCAATGAGCCGTGCCATCGTGTGCATTGTTAGTGTTTTGAAAAGTATCGTAATAGTTGTGGCGGTTAGACAATTGATAATGTGTGTATGCCCAGTGCTTACTAAATAACGACGACGATATTGATGATGATGATGATGATGGTGGTGTTGATGTGACCTTATAAATGGCAGGAAATGTTCATTACATGAATTTCACGTTTTGCAATGGAACTCAGACGATTGCTGCACGGATCTGAGTCAAGAGCCACTCGTTATTTCTTGCACACTCTGCAGGCGCAGCTCTGCACCAGTCCGATTCATTGCAAAGTGGCAGGTTTTGACATAACATTAAACGGAAGGCAACGCTGAACCTACCTTTTAACTAGCTGTGGAATTCGCCCTTAATTGGCCTCGTCGCTCTGGCCGATAACAAAAAAATGTCACGTCGCCTCGAATTACATTCAAACAATGACATTAACAGCGCTGGAACGGCGAAACAGCAATTGATTATCAACGGCGTTTGCACATTTCATGACCGAGCGTTCAAGTGCATCACTATGAATTGAATATGCCAAGGTGACTTTCCGTGTCATGCCCACATTCACAAATATAAATGGACAAACGCATGTTCTGTTCTCTCTCTCTCATCACGTAAAGAAAAATGAATACATCTCCGTGCTCCCACGGTGTTCCATAGAATTTCCGTGGCCCCTGGCCACAGACTTCACCGGCGGCATTTGTAGATGCGAGGGTGTAACGCCACGTCGCCGAAGAGGGGAAACAAAGGCAAGAGGTTTTGTTATAATTTGGACGCGCATGAAGCACTACAACGTCAAATAGGCAAGGTGTTCAATTTGAAAGGTGAAAAAAAAACTTCATTCGATGGGCGGGAGGGCGTGAAAGGAGTCGAGAATCAGACCCCCCCCCCCACCCTCGTGCTGTGCGAATCTCATTATGATCGTGTGGGAGGCTTTGAAGGCTCCGTTTCGAGCTGCCCGCACTGCAGTGCCGTGTCGGCAAGCTCCCCGAGCAGGCAGCCGAAACCAGCGACCAACGGGCGAGTTTTGCATGCGCGAGAAGGAGGCCTCTGCCGTTCATTGCACGAGCTGCCAAAACCTGCGTCTCTGTGGCTGTAGCGTTGTTGGCAAGGGCCCTGGTAACAATTAATAAAACAGGACGTCCCCGTCCACGTCACCTTCCTGTTAAAGTTTTCACCTCCGTGGCCCAGTTGCTTGGACCCCTCCTCCGGCTCGTTGGCACCAGCGCAGCTGCACCGCCTGCACACTCGATGGCTTTGCCACACTAACAAGTCTTGTGTTTTTTACGTGTTTGGTGCACGTATTGAACGCGTATGAACGCATTGTGGCATTTTATTTCACTACCAATGTGTGGTTCATGTTATGGTACTGGTGTCTTTTTAGGGCTATATATATGTGTGTGTTTGTTGTGTGTTTCGTGTAAAGTTAACATCGATGTACCATCACGCTCAGACTGCTTGCAGCTCGGCTGAAATTCAATGCTATGTAAACATTGCACTGTTTTGAAATGCGGTGCCATTTGATCTTGAAGAGCGTTGAAACACAGGAGTGTTGCATCGCTATACACTAACAGGAATTGACAGGTACGAGTGTGGGTTGCGTGACATATGCAAGGACGAGACAAAGCAAGTCATGTACGTACAATTCCATTTTGCAAGAAACACATGTGATACGTTGATGCAGAGTAAATTAATATTCATCTAAATTATGCATCGCACAGACTGAAAATGTCATCAGTGTGATAAGAAAGCAGGTGTGGGACACTTAGATGTATGGACTTTGGGCCGTTTGTTCTCGAGAGTGTGAACAGCAGGGAGGAATGATAACCATCTTCTTTAACCCTTTTTTTTGATGATTAGGGGGAGAATGAGAACGAAGGGTACATAATACAAGCTCAACATGAAATAGCATTCTGTCAGTTTTTTCTATTTACCAGGTAATGCCCACTGAGCTATAGAGCTCTTTTTCAGAAGCGACCTGCTCACAAATGAGAGCTCAACGAAGCGACGTATCATCACGTGGAAATGTACAGCAGCCAAATTACTCTAAACGCACGATTCTAAATGTGGAGGGGAAAAACCCCGAAGGACCCGGAGAAAAATCCACTCGACCACGGGGGAGAGGGACACGCAGACTCCAAATGTACAGACATCGTCAGGGTCGGGATCGAACCCACGACTACCTGTATACCAGGCGAGGTGGTTAACATCTCGCCACCATGTAGCATAACTACATAACTACCCATGTACTTATGCTACATGCATAACTACAGTTAGTTATGCTACATGGGCAGTAATCACAGGGTATCGGCTCAACTTTTAAATAATCTTGTGACATTTTATTCTTGATTTACAGTCTTTTCACTGCCCCTTCCCCCACTCGCCCCATTTATTTCAAATGGGCTTTCTGGCACGATGTCACGTGATCTATCACGATATCACGTCATATATCACGAGGCACAAACATAATTTGTAAAATCTCGGACATCGTTGCACCTCCGAAGACAAGCCTTTTCATTTTTTTCCAGAGACTTCTGAAAAATCAATTCTTCATGTGGCATTTCTATCCTTCACACAGTAGGGGGCGACCTCTCCTGTGCAAGCGTGTTGGACTTCTTTCGCACCGTACGTCGCCAAACGTGCTAATCGGAGGGGCTGTGTGTGTGTTGGACTTCTTTCGCACCGTACGTCGCCAAACGTGCTAATCGTCGGGGCTGTGTGTGTGTGTTGGACTTCTTTCGCACCGTACGTAGCCAAACGTGCTAATCGGAGGGGCTGTGTGTGTGTGTTGGACTTCTTTCGCACCGTACGTAGCCAACCGTGCTAATCGGAGGTGCACTCTGCAGCGAGATATTTTCCCCCACTTTAAAGTCCAGCTGCTATTTTCAATACTCAGAGTTGGAATTTAGCCAATTCAAGTGCATCACCAGCTACAACGTGATGGGGTTTTGTGTGCGTGTGTGTGCGAGGGGTGTGTGTGCGAGGTGTGTGTGAGGTGCGTGTGTGTGCGAGGGGTGTGTGTGCGAGGTGTGTGTGAGGTGCGTGTGTGTGTGCGAGGTGTGTGTGCGAGGTGCGTGTGTGTGCGAGGGGTGTGTGTGTGCGAGGGGTGTGTGTGTGTGATGTGCGTGTGTGTGTGCGAGGTGTGTGTGCGAGGTGTGTGTGAGGTGCGTGTGTGTGTGCGAGGTGTGTGTGCGAGGTGTGTGTGTGTGCGAGGTGTGTGTGTGTGCGAGGTGTGTGTGCGTGTGTGTGCGAGGTGTGTGCGTGTGTGGCGCGTATGTGTGTGGTAATAGGTGCTCGCTAACAGCACTTGCACCTACAGTCTGTTGAGGCTATACGGGGGATCTTTATCTTTGTGTTTTGTGGTGACGAGTGACCGGGTCTAAGACCAGATCTCTACTCGCCACGCTCCTCGAGACCCCGGTTTAACGATGGCCTTGCCAGCAACGACGGCTGTGACCTGCGGTCCATCCCACCGCCCCCGACTGCTCTAAGACAGAACACCCGACTGACTCCCTCACTCAGAAGCCCGTGACCTTTACGACTATTGGCGACCCCAGTCGGGGTTGGCGGGGAGCTGCATGAAGGCGCAAGGCGAACAAAGCCGGCAACTTGCTCCTCCAGATCGAGAGCAAATCCAATTGCCCTTTCGCGATAGATATTGCCGACAAGGCGCGCACACACTCACTCACACCCACACACACTCACACACTCACTCACACACTCATACACACACTCACACACCCACACACACACCCCCACACTCACACACTCACACACCCACACTCACTCTCACACACACACACTCACACACACACTCACACACCCACACTCACACACACA